TGGAAGCAATACGACTGGAAATTCGCGCCAACTTGAAGCCGGTGGCTGATTCACTTCTGTCCAAAGCTCTTCAAGAGTGTCCAACCGCCGGTTGTTTGTGGGCTGAGGCCATTTTCATGACTCCGCGAGCTCAGCGCAAGAGTAAATCAGTGGATGCTCTAAAAAAATGCGAACACGATCCTCTCGTGTTGTTGGCAGTCTCCAAGTGAGTACCAGTGTTCGATCAAGCACATACTCACTCGAACAGTAAACTTTACGCGATGATTTCAGCCGTTTATCTCTTTGCAAGTTGTACATATATTATGCAACCAACCTAGGAATACCCCATCGCGACGTTTCCTGTTAAATCAGATTGTAAATTCTTCAAAGCAGTACAATGCCGATCTCCGTGTTTTTTTCTGCACGCTCACAATTTTGTCTGTACCATCATTGTTTATCGGTTATATGCACTGATCACCCAAGGTGTTCGGTACCCACCAGTTGAATCATTATGCGTCTAATCCCGTTAGGTACTAAACAGGAGGCTTCATCCTGCTGGATTGAGTTAGATCTCCCTCGATTTTAATCCTCAATGCATTGCATCAATCTAAATGCAATTTGAAAACCGGGTTTTTTAAATGTGATTCACGTCAAGCATCGATGACCCGCTCGTTTACTTTATGTCGTAGACAGCTTTTCTCAGCAATTTACTCTCTGGAGCAATGAGTTGTGCAAATTTCCGTTGTTTTAATTGGTGTGCACTAATCCGCCATGCATGTTAAGTGTAAAGATCTTGACATTGGTATGGGAGACCTTTGTGATTTGTTTTTGCTTTGCACTCGGATGAATGGCTTACCACATTCATGTAACGCAATCATTCCCCTATTACTTCAACTTCACGAACAGGATGTTCTGGTCAGAGCGGTTGGTTATGAAAGCCCGAAACTGGTTTACTCGTACCGTTAAACTGGAGCCAGATCTGGGAGATGCTTGGGCTTATTTCTACAAATTCGAACTTCAGCACGGAACTGAGGTAAGTTCACGTTTCCTCAACTCACTTCGTGCACGTTACTTTCTGTTCTATACCCATATTGCGGTAGCTGCAAGAGGAATCTCTGGCAAACTTTCTCCCCGGATATTTTCTTCTGCAAGTACCTCCGTGTTATTGATCTTAAGAGGGAATCAACTCTATCGTCAGAAAACATCCACTGGTGCTCTATGAAAATAGAGAAAGTGAGACGTAGGAGTGACTGACACTAAGAAGCCTTACTAGGTTAAGCGTGGTATTGTGTTGGGCGACAGTGAATCTGTAAACCACTGGAAGGAAGTGTCAGTGCTTAAATCCTTTACCATATAAACCTTGTAGCCAATGATCGACTAGGTTTAAGCGCCTCTCTTAAGAGATCTACTATCACACAAGAATTTTTCTCACACATCTATGCTGGTTCGGAGTTTGTAACAGACAGTTCTGTTTCAAAATGGATTCGCATTATTACTGATAATGACGTTAAGGGAGGAGAAAACGTTCGCACTAACAAGAACTTATCTCATTTCAATCAAATATGGACTACTGTTAGAATTCAGTAAAACGTCACGTTGAAAAACACTAATCATGCAGCCCCGTGTACACCGATTCAGTCAGATGGAAAATTAGGTCAATCTGATCACTTTGATTCTGCAGACAGCCGCTTCAAAAAAAAAGCGGTTAACAGCTTTCGCAGCCTTACGATGAAGAAAGTCTATTAGATAATCGTTTGACTAAATTGACTACGCTTTTGCTATCCGGAAAACCAGTGTGTTGGTCTGTGGTCTCCTGGGAAATCATTCCACCAGAATAGACTAAAGGGTAACAAACACAGTTCGCAACAAAGAGTGAATGATACTGAATGGGATGCATGTGAGAATCCTCCTGTCCAAGACACTCTTCATACCATTTGGGGTTTTAAGATGCTCTTTGAGTCCATTTATTTTACTTCTTTTTTTATCTAACCCAACTCTGAATCCACATAGACTACAAAACACATACACACATGCCGTACGCTCTTGCTTCATTAATTCCTTTTTCCTTCCCTCCTGGCTCTAGGATCAGCGAAAAGAGGTTCTTCAGCGATGTGTGGCAGCTGAACCGCATCATGGCGAAACTTGGTGTCGCCTGGGAAAGGCCCCGCGCAACTGGCGTATGAAGACCAAGGAATTGCTGACCCTAGTTGCGGAGTCAGTCCCGTTACCTACGTGATGCATCTCACAAGCATGTGTAAACTCCACTGACTTTGACAGTTGTTCCTCTCACCGTGCTNTGACCCTTGTAAACAAACCACACCTACCCCCGCCCACCCATTTTACCACACAACGGGCAAAATAACACAAATAAAGAAAGCATTGCTGCAAAATTGGTTTAATTGAAGATGCTGAGCGTACGGAAAATGCATGGAAATACACGCAAACTAGTGCAGCATTTGTCTTCGTGATGGAATATCCTTCGAGTTGTGCACTTGTTCGTTTCTGGTGGGCGTATGGCTTTAAAAGTGCATAGGCGGTAGTCTTCTGATCGTGCTTGTGTTCTTGGCTAAACCGTATTTGGGGTCCAGTTTTCTTTTCCGGCGTTCATCCACGAGTCGTAAGTTGTAAGAGAGATGGGGAGAGAATTTATTTCTCATTTGAAACCGAACATTCAGTTTCAGTTTTACAACTTTTACCTTCGAGATTGGAATATTGAGAGCAAATTCAAGCGAAAGAAAGCGAATTTAGATAGATTGGTGTTCCAAGAATAATGAGTAGATGTATGAACACCACTGTTTGTGACACCCAGACACATCACTCAGTGTCTCTAACCACCGGTTACGATCATCCTGAGGGAGCCTAACTGGACCTACGTGACCCAGTGTCCTGGTTAGGGTTTTCATATCCTCATACCAGGTCTTCGTTTGACCACTCCTAATCTTTTTCCAAACGCTAACATCGTTCGCCGTGGCAACGTATTTGGTGACATGCGAACATTTAGACGTGTACTCTACAGTTTATGCAAAAACAACCTGACCCGATCACCCTTTGTAGATATGCTACTCACTGGTTCTCTCCTCCGGGAATTTTAATTAGTCGCTGTCATCGTCTCAAGCTTAAATAAAACAAACAGTATATTCCTCAGAACAAGTGTGTCGGTTGTCATTTCTTACTTACCTAGGTCTTTGCAGTTTCCTTGTCAGTAGCATTTCAGCTCCCTTCTTCGTCTTCTCCTCAGATGTTTTAGTGCAAGGAGCTGGCACGTAGGTATAGTTCAGTTCGATCAGTGCTCTCTTTCGCAAGTCGGTGGCCCAGTAGTATGCCTGAAATCATAAGATAGATACTTTCTTGATGGCAGTCAACGGGATTAACGTGCGAATTTTAATTGAGAAATTGGCCTACATTTTCGTTTTATTTAAAATAGATGAGGCGATCAGGGTTTAGTGAAGTTTTTCGTGTTTGGATGTGCTATTTGGAACTTTGCGCATTGGTAATCTACTTTAAGCTGATGAATATTTTCGTATCTTTTTACGTTGGTAGAGCAATTTCTTTGCAAAGGTTTTAATGGTGACGTCTATAAGGCAACGGCGAGCACCTCGTAGCCCAAAACAACTGTTAGGCCCCGACTAAGCATGACTAACTTAAACATTATCAGATACAACGAGCAAGTAAAAAAAGTTATAAAATTGACCACAGCAATTACCCCACTTTATCTCAGTCACTAATGAGTTTGAAAAATGACTATGTGAACTTTGATGGCGGAAACAAAAATATCGCTCTTACAGCTTGCATATGCTTACTGCTAATATGACGGATGTCGTCCGCCCGAACCATGAAATCGGTTCCACCAAATCGAGTTAAGATATCTTCGCTGCTTCGATAAAGATACCTGACGTTATTGATGTAGTTTTCTTACAATGGAAGCACCGAAAGCTAAATTCAACGAGTTTTCCAGCGGACTCATGGATGTCCACATGCACAATCCGGCTTTTACGGAACGCGCTTCTTTATCGCAGAGCTATTCCAATTTTAGCAAGAAGCGACAGCGTCTGCAGTTGGTTATCCATATTGAGTGCACAAATCAGATCACTTTGTAGAACCATTAACCACGCACCTTCGGGGGACGGTCTTGGATGCTGTCTTTTGGCTACTCGTTCGGATGAAACAGAAGAAGAAAGACAGGAAAATTAAAGCTGAGTCTAAGAGGAAATGGAGAATTTCGGTTGCAAAGAAATTGAGAATATGCACGAACACCATTGTTTACGACACTCAGCCATGTCTTTCAGTGTCTCTAACCACCGGTTAAGATCATCGCCAGCCAAGGAGCCTAACGGGATCTATGTGATGGAGTCTCCTGGTTAGGGTTTAGATACCCTCGTGCCAGGTCTTATTTTGATCACCTTGGCTTTAGTCCACCCACTACCTACCTCGGCAAACATCGTTCGCCGTGACAGTCTATTTGGTGCCATGCGTAACACACCCCAAGCAAACGTAATCAATAGAGGTCGACTACCTGCTCCAGTGGGCGACCGGGGTTGTCTAAAACTTTGCGCCTAACCTCAGCATTGCTCGTCCGGCTGCCCTATCAGATTCGCTCAATGCTGCGTAGATAGTGGTGTTCAAACACCGACAGTCTATCTGTACCCTGTGTTTCTTAGTGACCAAGTTTATGCTGCGAACTGCAGAACTGCCGCAGCATACACTCAACCCTTCACAGACAGCCAGATGTCGCGACGGCGCCACAGATGTCTCAAGTTGGCAATTCCCTACTGAATCTTCTGTATGCGCGCCGACACTTCATCCGTGATGCGTCCACCGGGTGAGATACAGCTGCCCAAATAACAAAACTTACCTACTTGCCCTACTACTTCCCCAGTTAGAGTGAGGCTGGGTGCTGGACTAACCCAATATTGTAATATTGCTAAATAGAAACAGTATTCCATCTAAGTTTGAATTCTTTTTAATGAATGCCTATTTGTCGTAAACAGTGGCGTGCATCTTCTAAATTTCTTTGTAATATTAGTCCACTGAAATCTTTCATTCTCTATTAAATTTTACTTACAACTTTCTTATCTTTCTCCTACTGTTTATCCAAATGGGCAGCCAAAAGACAGCAACCAAAAAATAACATCGGATAACGCAGCAGATAGCATATGAATAACGGTTTTAATGCGATATTCGTTACCTTTCCCTCTTGCTCCACTCGATTTTCAAGTTCTTTACACAGCTTTCTAATGTAGTCCTTGTACGATTCCATCACCTCCATTGGGTCCTCGTCCAAATCCAGTTGCTCGTTGACTCGACTACCTCTTCGGGCTGCCCTGTTTACTAGTGTGAATCAATATTAAGTTATTTATTTTCAAGGTTCTTTCGTCCTAGCACATACTTATACGCAAAATCATTTTCGCCTTCGGTACATGCTGGTCACATATAAAAAATGCTTTCTTATAGTATTCATTAATTTCCCTTTGCAACTCGTATCTGGTTTTCCATTCGTTACCTGCAAGCAAATGATATTCATCGATTAGACTCCAATGTTCAAGCTCACCCTCTTCGTGTATCAGGTCCAGTTGATTTTCCACCATTTCAATAGATTGTTCCAACTTTTCGTTGGTCTGTCGAAGGATTTGACTGAATTTATTTAAGTTGGTTGATCAGGTCAACTTACAGCCATAATTTTTCTTGTGCAACAGCATCAGCATAGGCAACCTTTGATATTGATTCTTGAACACTAGCAGCATTCATTTCTAAAACAATTATCCGATTGTATTTCCATGGGAGATATTCAGTGAATACTATCTATATTCTCATTGTGCTTGGTGTCATCTATACTGTTTTTTTCGTTGAACACTTATTTGTTAACTTCCACGAGGGCTCGTGCCATTCGGTCAGTTTGTTTTATTACACATAATGGAGTTACAGTAAAAGGGGAAGTCCCCATAGTTAAAGAGCATACTGCAAAAGGGAAGGTAGGGTTTAAAGGGTGTAGGGTTGTAAGTTGGGCTAAAGACAGAATGTGGGAGGGCGTTCCACAACTAGGCACTTGAAACGTTTGAATCAAAATGCGATATGCTGATTCAGTGTGCGACTATATTACATTTTATACATGCATGGATGTGAAGTTTCTGGTCGTCGAGGTTTTGGAGTAGAAAATGGCGATTAGTTTTTCTCCTAGAAAACTTACTTGAAGTTCTTGGTCGGTTGTCTTCTGATCCGCGATGGGTCGGGTTTACACCTATTATCTGGTATGGTTTTTAGAACGCTTGTATTAAAATTGAAGCACAACGGAAAGCGATTTCTCAGCTTCAGTTTTATCAACCATTAACCATGCATTTTCATGCGCCGGTTTCAGTTGATCATTTGCATAAAATATCAGAATGCAGATTGAAATGTTAAGAGCAGAGCCTAACTAAAGATAGAGAATTTATAAAAACTGGGGTTGCAAGAAACATTGGCAGATGCACAGTTTAGTTGAAGCCACATGAAAGTACTGCAGTTGATTACACAGAACTAAAACAAGAAGCGATGCCGCAGACAACTGTTAGAGATGCTCACCAGCTAATTCTGCTCATCTAAAATCAGTACGTTATTCAATGTTTCACCGATATTCACTCAATTAAATGATAGCTTACTTCTGAGATTCATCCTATCTAACCGACCTACACCATACTACATAAATAGTGATCTCTTTATGCGGATAACCGAGTTCGAGCCTATGGTATTTTTTCGCCCGAGTTCAGTAGAAAAATTAGCGTTTGTCAGGGTTGCTCTAACTTTGTTTCTATTTACTTTTGTCGTAGATTTGCTTCTGGAAACAGCCCTGTCTTCGTGCGAGAATAATGACATCGATTTGCCCCCAGGTGATGAACTGTCTTATCTGAAGTATGCAGATGATGTTGTACTGCTAAGTGAAAATCCAGGTAACTTGCGAGCTTCGGTATGCGTTTTGTGTAAAATGTTGGTACAAGACTGGGTTGGTCCAGTCCCGCAACGTCACCTCAAGTGTAGAACTAGTAGGAGAAATAGGTAAATTTTCCTACTTCAAAAGCTATATCTCACCTGGCAGAGGCGTCACAGATGAAGTGTCGGCACGCCTACAGAAGACTCGATTTTTATCTGCCAGTTGGATGCATATTTCTCTGTCGCAGCATCCGACTGTTTGTAAAGCGTCGAGTGTAGAGTACAGTACTTCGGCCAGTGCTGCTTCGCGCTGCAGAGATCGAGCCAATACGGGAA